GGGGGCGGGGGGGCAATCGTAAGGTATGAAGACTTAAAGTTCATAAATATCTCAGTAAATCTACACATAATAAAATTTGTAAGCCACTGTTTGAACTAACTGCTTACAGGTTTCTTTTTCTTTTTTTTTTCCTCAATTGATACAGGTGGAATCAAGAGATACTTTAAACAGTATTGCTTTGAAATTTGATACAACACCCAATGAACTGGTTCAATTAAATAAGCTTTTCTCCAGAGCAGTCGTTCCCGGACAGGTACTATTATACTAGATCTGTTACTTATCCAGCAAAGACCTTTTTGCCTGTATTTCACATCTCGACCAGAGAAGGCATTAAAGTTCTTCTCTTACGGGTTTTCCTATTGGCTTTATAAAAGACTTTCTCATTTCTTTCTAGTTTGTGAATTCCTTGTGCATATTAAATAACTGCCTAGAAAGGGAGCATGTAATGACGCTGCCTGTTTCTTAAATAAGATCAGGGGACTTTTAAGACTAAATACACTTAATGGTATAATAACACGTCAGTACAAGCTAAATTGTTACTTTGCAAATACAGCAGGCTGTTTACTAACTCTAGCTCACAAGACAAAGTCAGGGTACGGCTTACAAACAGCATTCCTGACTGCGTATTACTGCCTGCAATTCTGTTTTAATAAGATGAATAATGTTTCCATTCCACTCTGAAAACTTGCTGTTGTTGTCAGCAGTGTAGGATTTGGATTTATTTTTCAGTCCTTTTAGGTCACTATTGCTTACATCTTCTGCCCACCCCCACACCCCTTTTTTGCTTTCTCTTTTCACTCCTTTTTGAAAACCAGGATTGGAAACAAGTGGTAGGTCAGCTATGGTATTAGCCCTCTGTCTGAAAAAAAAATCCTGTGTTTTTCCGATTGCTGCAAAGCTTCACTTAGCTTGAGTACCTACAGTGGCCTAAATAGTGTATTTAAGGGGTGAATAACTTCCATAGACTCTTTCCTGTTTGTGGTGGGTTTTTTTTTTCTTTTTTTTTTTTACATTGGGTGCTAAGAGCTATGTCTATGAACTTGTTCCCCAGCCTGTTTTTCGGTTGCTCTAATAGTAGAGTAATAGCAAGAGAGCTAATTGGGCAGGTCTTCCTTGGACACTGTATTGGGAGTTTCTGGCATGCTGTATGCTTCTAATGCTTTCTATCTGAATTTTTTCCTCAATTATTATGACTAAAGATCAATCTTACCTCAAGAAGGCATTTAAATTTAAAAGCTAAAATTAAGAAATACTTTGTGGGGTTTTTTTTATTCCCTCAACTCATAATTTCTGTTAAAATTAGGAGGAGCAGG